CTGCTGGAAAAGAAAAAAAAAACAGTACAGTTCTTAATAGCTGTAATCGATAAATCATCTAAATTAATAAATAGTAAATGTTAACAAGAGTAAATACTAAAAGAATGCATGAGGGAAATAGTGATAACAGAATCAAGAATAAAGTCTTCTACTCCTTCTGGTTTAAAGAGATCGCTTTCGAACAATGATCAACGTGCTAGGAGACGCTCTGGCAGCTGGAATCATTGGTCACTTGTGTCAAAAAGACTTCCCACCTGACAGAGCGGTAAGCTAACATTCGTTTTCTGTTTATAGTATTTGGGTCAATGACATGCCACTCATTTTCTTTCTCTTCTGTATCTATGAATTTATTTAAAAATACATTCAAAACAAAGTTCATACGTATAACCTTTCTGTAGCTTAAACCAGTGGTTCCCAACCCTGGTCCTGGAGGCACCCCAACACTGCTCATTTTGCATGTCTCCTTTCTCTGACACACCAATTTCAGGTCTTGGAGTCTCTACTAATGAGCTGATGACCTGAATCAGGTGTACGCTTGAGGAATTCAGCCAATCACAACGCACTGGATAACTGGCCAATCACAGCACACCTCGCTTTTTTAGGCGAGGCATAGAGGAGAAACAATAATGTACAGTATGTGGAAAATAATGTTTTTTGAACCTTAAACCGCATAAACCCATTTCATTACACCAAATACACAAAATAATGTTATTTTTAGCAGCATCATATGACTCCTTTAAGTAGACATGCAAAACGTGCAGTGTTGGGGTGTCTCCAGGACCAGGGTTGGGAACCACTGGCTTAAACAGTAGAGCACGGTGCTCACAACGCCAAGATCATAGGTTGGATTCCCAGGGTTTAAATGTAAATGTAATGACTTGCTGAGCATGTTTGTAATGATGTATGCTTTTAATTTCTGAATTAATATTTATTTTGATATTTTAAGGGGACATAAAGTGAAGAAAATATCTGTCCTAATATCATAATAAAGAAAAAAAATGAACTTCTTGAAAAAAATAGAATAAAAAATCGACTTATTTTGTATTTTGACAAAATTCTTTCTGGGAAAACTATTTGAACAAAACTGGAGCACAAAACCAGTCATAAGTAGCACTGGTATATTTGTAGCAATAGCCAACAAGACATTTTATGGGTCAAAATTATCTTTTTTTTTTTCTTTTATGCCAAAAATCATTAGGATATTAAGTAAAGATCATGTTCCATGAAGATATTTTGTAAATTTCCTAACATAAGTAAATTTTTTGATTAGTAATATGCATGGCTAAAAACTTCATTTAAAGGCGATTTTCTCAATATTTAGATTTTTTTGCATGAGTGCATAAAGAACAGTAAATGACTCCAGATTCTTAAAATATTAGATCAAGAAAGCGCGAGATTTTCATGTTGCCCCTAAAACCTTAATGAATTATTTCTGTTTATAAAAAAATACTCTTAAACTTGAAAATTATTTTGTCAGGCGAAAGCAAATGGAGCTGCACAGGACGGCCAGACGGCTCAAAACATGGAGAATGTGCCTTTAACTGAAGTACCGCTGCTGGCCGGGAAAGACTGTATATTTGAGGTGGTTGGGGACACCGTTTTTGAACGACCCACAGTCTACTACAATATATGTCAGGTCTGAGTCACCAGACGATTGCCTTACATCCACGAACCTCCTTTCTACCACTGTGCCATAAAGAAGTACTGAACAAACACTTTATCTGGTTCTTCTATTTCTGCTTTTAAAACGGACTAATATTGGCTGTTTTGTACAGCTGAATACATTTAGGCAGCGTTCCTTTCCCTATTCAAGGGAAATACTTCTATTTACAAGGACAAGCCAAAAATAGGTTTTTTTTTTCTTCCCCTCTGCTTTTGTCGCCTCTGATGCTGGAGGTACAGCAGTTATTGCATGCTGGCATGCATTCAGGAGTTTTGCCATTCCGGTTCAGGCTGATGTTACGGTCAAAACATGATCCAGATCTGCAGTGACCTCATTCAACAACTTCCTGAAGGGAATGGGGAAGGAACCTGAGTGGCATGTTAAAATGCACAGTCGAAAGCCAATTATCTGGCATCACGTGCAACTACACGAGTGACTGATTTGCAAATATTTCTTTTTTTTTTTTTTTACATTGTATTTTTGTGTAATGAATATGTTCATAATGAAAATAAAAAAAAAATACAAAAATGGATGTAATGCAGGGCTGTCCAAACTCGGTCCTGGAGGGCCGGTGTCCTGCAGAGTTTAGCTCCAACTTGCCTCAACACACCTGACTGGAAGTTTCTATGCCTAGTAAGAGCTTGATTAGCTGGTTCAGGTGTGTTTAATTAGGGTTGGAGCTAAACTCTGCAGGACACCGGCCCTCCAGGAACAAGTTTGGACAGCCCTGATGTAATGTGTTTGCGCGGTGATGTTATGAGAAACGCCATGAACATGAGGACAGATGGTTAACATCGGATTTGGTTTCGGAGAAAACAAGCAGAGCTTATGCCTAATTAGATAGAGCTGCTTGCTTCAGGTTTAAGAGCTCAGGATGATCAGCCCAAAGAACATTAATGACAAATTAGCCATTCGGAGGTTCTGACCAACGAAACTAATTCAGCGGTGACAAAACAGACACATGACCATGTTCCAAAGCACAGCTGACTTAATTACAGCCTTTATACATCTGTATACTTTTTGTATGAAGTTTGTTTCACAGTATCTCAGGGCTTCTGCAGTTTTTAAATGTATGTTTAAGAGACCTTTTTAAGACCAAGTAAAGAAAATGAATGGGAACATAAAACATTACTATGTTCTGTAAATGTCTTAGGAGGAGACTATATGCAATACATTGCATTTTGAAAATACAGTACACCTTCCAACAGATCTCCATTGCTTTTTGCTTAAATATGAAAATAACTTTACTGTAGCTTCTGATCACACTGCAAAAAGTGATGTTCATCCTTAGCATTTTTGTCTTGGGTTTCCAATGCAAATGTCAAAAGATTCTTAAATCATGACGTATTATGAAGCAAAATGCACAAGTTTTGTTTTATGAGAAACTGATCAAAATGAAGTGTTTATGAACAAAACAAGAACAAATATCTGCCAATGGGCTCAGTAAAATCAACTTAATTCAAAATAAAAACAAGTTTTTGTACCCCACTGACAGACATTTGTTCTTGATTTAAGTATGAACTCAAATTTGCAGAAAACAATACTGCATATATTTAATTTGCATCTCAAGTAACTATATGCTAATTCAAGGATGTTTAGATGTATGTATTGGAAAACGACAAAATACTGAGGAAAATTTTGTTTGCTGTGCAAAAACACTTCCAAAATGTAATGCCACTAATTTTATGATTTTAAGACTTTGTGCTCTGATTTGACCTTTTCAAGTTGTGAAAGGGTGAATTAGAACTTTTGAGACCCACAGAAACCCTGTATTTTCACAAGCAAAAGAAAAAAAGGGGTGCTTAATAACAGCTTTTAACAGCTATTACAAAAGCAGTTACAGTATAATTATAATTTAAAGAGGAGTTTTGAATTGGATGTTTTAAACCAACATCCCAGCTTTTGTCACCTCCCTTTTTTCACCTAAATCTACTTTTTACATTTAAAATTACATTTTAATTTTAATGTTTCTATTTTTTCTGTGGGGAAAATGAGGCTTGTCCTCATAAGCTACTGAAAAGCGCACTAAATTCCTAAAAATAAAATTTTTTATACTCCACAAGTTTGTTAATTTAGTTTAAGTCTGTCTCCTCTCTGTTCAACTAAAACATGACAACTCCTCATAATATAAAACATGTAATGTAGTGTGGAAAGTTTGTCAAATATAATCAGCAAATAAAAGCAGATTAATTTGTCAACATTTACCCATTATGAACACACAAACATTAAGCTAACTGGGGCAGTCTTTTTTACCATTAACTAGAAACATTTAGAATAATAATGAAAGTAACAAAACATTTTTACGGCAAAACAATGGCATTTATTTGAATGAAACATGGAACATCCTGCTACAGGACCTCAAGTCACACTACCACTAAAGACCCGAAGCATGATGTGTACAATTACTGAAATCAATCCTACCAAATGAACATGCAAACAAGTATAGTGCTGGTCTGCAAACCAGATGTGTACTAGTACTGTGTGAGAACAATTAAATACAATTCTTCACCTTTGTGTGGCTTTACATGACCTGACGTCTCAAAAAGCAGATTGAAATTTCACAAGTTCACATTAAAATGTACAAAGCTGCATTTAGGATTGACTAAGTAGAGAGTAAAACACTACATTAAAATGCCTTATTACTGTTAATTCGGCAAGCAAATGTGTAACTGAAAACTGATCTAACCAAATCTAGACTGACAGCTTGCAGCCAAGTGCCTACAACCCTGCTTCCAATTTATCCACGCTGTGAGTGAATTCAATGCTGGTTAAAAAAAATCATGTAAAACCAAATGATAAAAAATGGCTTCTTTCAACCATCTTCCAAATAAAACCAGACAAGAAAAGAAATATGTGGTTAAATGCAAAACAAACTTTAATATCAAATGAAAAAAAAAAAACTGATTAAAAAAAATAAAAAGCAAACTGCAGTGGGGAAATAAAAACAAAAAAAACAAACAAAACAATGACAATACTTGCGGTTTTAGATTTTAATTTCCAAATAGGAAAACTAAAACACTTAAAGGCATACACTTTACACTCCAAGTTCTTTGGTCCGTCCAACGTTCTTTTACCTTACAGATGGGTGAGCTGGAGCACTGACGAATCGGACTAGTCACTATTTACAAAGGTCTAGAAGAGGTGGGGATGTGTAGTTTTTACTGACAATAAAGCTAAAAGCTTTCACATTATAATACAGCGATGGTGAACTCCGGTCCTGGAGAGCCGCAGCCCTGCAGAGTTCAGCTCCAACCCGAATTAAAACTCACCTGCCTGTAGCTTCCTAGTAACACTTCAGACCTTGATTAGCTTGTTCAGGTGTGTTTGATTAGGGTTGAAGCAAAACTCTGCAGGGCTGCGGCTCTCCAGGACTGACGTTCACCACCCCTATTATAATATAATGAAGAAAATGGGACCATTAAGTCCAGTGTGAAAAAGGGAAAGAGCAACAGTGTTTGCGCAAAAAAAAAAAAAAAAAAAAAAAGACTTTCCGATTTATATCTGAAATTTTTTCATTGTCCAGGGTTTTACAAATGCCAGGCATCAGGGACAAAACCAGTAATGCAACATTCTAGATTTTGCTCAACCCCAGAGAGCACAAGCTTGTTTCACCCCAACACAGATGTATGAATTATGTTTATGTAGACAGTCAACAATAACTGAAATCTTTAGAACAAACAGCAATTAACTTTCAGATTATTTTATGATAAAAAAAAAAAAAATAGTCCCTTTACTTGTGAGACTTGCTGGTTTTGAACGACACTTGCAGGACTCTGTCTCCCATGCGGTATCCATTCAGGCTGGCGATGGCCATTGCGGCCTCTTCATAATTTGTCATGGTAACAAACCCAAACCCTTTGCATTTGTTGGTGTTAAAGTCACGGATGACCTTGACGTTGGTGACAGCACCGAACGGACCAAACATCTGCCACAGGAAGCCTTCGTCGGCATCCTGACCCAAGTTGTAGATGAAGATACACCATCCAGAGGAAGAGCTGCCGGACACGTTCACCCCGGAGGCGCCGCTCATGTGGTCAACACTCATGGGTGAAAACCTGCCAGAGCAAGAGATCAATCAGTCAAGTCACCTTCATTTCTATAACCAGGGGTTAAAGCAAAAAAGAAAAAAAAAATCCTGAGCCTGAACTTTTTCCCAGGGGTGGTGCAGCACATGCAAAGCATGCAATGACTGTGGCAACTTTAACATTTGAAAGGATACTATGGCAAAGTTATTACTTTCTTTATTTAAACTGATTTTTTTTTTTTCATGAATATATGGTTGACCTGAAGAATGAAAGCTATACCATACACTTGGAAAATTATGAGCTATATCACCGCTTATCAACACTAGGGGTGTGACAATAAACCACGAGATGAGAAAATACAGATACTTTGTTCACTAGAACGAGACAATATTTTAATACTATTTTAAAGAAATCACAATGACAAATTTCACAGAATTTCAATGACAAAATATTTGTCTTTTAATTACAAAAAGTAAAACAATGCAGTTGTATTTAGAAATATTTTAACTAATCTAAGGCTGTAACTAATGATTATTTTGGTAATCAAGTAATCTACTGATTATTTTGACAACCGAGTAATCTGATATTTTTTAGTAACAAA